TTCATTCATTCGTTCGTTCGTTCGTTCGTTCGTTCGTTCGTTCGTTCCTTCATGTGTTCATTCATTGAATCAACCAATCAGTCAATGAGTCAATCTCGCATTTATTCCTTCATTCGTTCTTTTTTTTAATTCGTTCATGTGTTCATTCATTCGTTCACTCACTCAACCAACCAACAAATCAACGAATCAATGAGTCACTCGTTCTCTCATCTGTTCATGCACTCTTGCATTTGTTTGTTCATTCGCTCGTTTGTCCGTTCGTTCATATAATCATTGTTTCTTTCATTCATTCATCGAACCAATCATTCAACCACGCCAGCATTCAATCAGTCACTCTTTCAACCATTCAACCAATGAATGAATCAGTCAATCAATCACCAACCATTCGTCCTTCTCATCCTTTTCATTCGTTCATGCATGCATGCATGCACGAAGTCATTCAACGTTTGTCCGCTTGTTCATTCATTCGTTCGTTCATTCACTCACTCATGTGTTCATTCATTCATTTGTTTATTGACTCATCCATTTTTGGATTCATTCATTCATTCATTTCTTTCTTTTTTTCATTCATTCATTCACTCATACATTCGTTTCTTCGTTCATGTTTAATTCATGTAATCATTCCATTCATTTCTTCATTCATTCATTCATTCATTCATTCGTTCATTCATTCGTTACTTCATTCATTCATTCATTCATTCATTCATTCATTCATTCATTCATTCATTCATTCATTCATTCATTCATTCATTCATTCATTCATTCATTCATTGATTCATCCATTCAATCATGCATTCATTCATTCAGTCATGCATTCATTCATTCATTCTTTCTTTCTTTCTTTCATTCATTCATGCATGCGTGCTTCTACTCGTTTCTTCAGTCATTCATGCATTTGTTCATTCATTCGGTCCTTCATTCTTTCACTCACTCATTCATTCATTCATTCATTCATTCATTCTCTCATTCATTCAGTCATTCATTCATTCATTTATTCATTCAATCATTCATTCACTAAGTCATTTATTCGTTCATCCATTCATTCATTCATTCATTCATTCATTCATTCATTCATTCATTCATTCATTCATTCATTCATTCATTCATTTCTTCATTCATTCATTCATTCATTCATTCTTTCATTCATTCATTCATTCATTCATTCATTCACAAATTTTGCATTCATTTATTCACTCATTCATTTTTTCATTTATTCAATCATTCATGTATTCATTCATTTGTTCGTTCGCTCATTCATGCCTTCATTTGTCCTTTCAGGTATCTACCCATCCATTCATTGAATTCTCCATTTGTTCATTCATTCATTCATTCATTCATTCATACATTCAGTCAGTCAGTCAGTCATTACTTCTTTCACGCGCCTCACACACACACACCTTTGTGCATTCATTCATTCATTCATTCATTCATTCATTCATTCATTCATTCATTCTTTCATTCATTCATTCATTCATTCATTCATTCATTCATTCATGCATTCCTTCATTCATTCAATCATGCATTCAATCGTTCACTCCATTCACTAATTCATTCAGTTATTCATTCATTCATTCATTCATTCACATTCATTCATTCATTCATTCATTCATTCATTCATTCATTCATTCATTCCAACAATCATTCACTCACTCATTCATTCACTCACCCATTCATTTATTCATTCATTTATTCATTCATTCATTCAATCATTCATTCATTCATTCATTCGTCCGTTCGTTCATTCATTCATTCATTCATTCATTCATTCATTCATTCATTCATTCAATCTAACATTCATTCATTCATTCATTCATTCATTCATTCATTCATTCATTCATTCATTCATTCACTCATTCACTCATTCACTCATTCATTCATTGAAGTAGTCAACCTATCAGTCAACCAATCAATCCATCAATCAATCAACCCTTCATCCTGTTCATCCTTACCATTCGTTCATGCATGCGCATTTGTTCGTTCATTCGTTCATTCATTCGTTCATTCATTCATTCATTCATTCATTCATTCATTCCTTCAACGATCGCTCATTCATTCATTCAATCAATCAATTAGCCAAACAGTCATGTCCTCAGTCATTCATCTATTCGTTCGTTCATTCATTCATTTGTTCATCCATCCATTCACTCATTAATTCATTCATTCATTCATTCATTCATTCATTCATTCATTCATTCATTCATTCATTCATTCATTCATTCATTCATTCAAAGTGACCCACAATCAGTCAATCACTCCACCAACCAACCAATCAATCAACCAAGCACTCATCCTCCCCATCCTTTTCACTCATTCATTTTTCCTTCATTCACGAAGGCATTCGTTCATTCATCGTCCGTTCGTTTGTTCATTCATTCAATCACTCATTCTTTCATCACTCAGTCATTCATTCATTTGTTCATTGATTCACTCCATCATTTCTCCGCTCATTCATTCATTCATTCATTCATTCATTCATTCATTCATTTATTCATTCATTCATTCATTTATTCATTCATTCATTCATTCATTCATTCATTCATTCATTCATTCATTTCTGAATGTATTTATTGATTTATTCATTCATTCATTCATTCATTCATTCATTCATTCGTTCCTTCATTCATTCATTCATTCGTTCATTGATTCACTCCATCATTTCTCCGCTCATTCATTCATTCGTTCATTCATTCATTTCTGAATGTATTTATTGGTTGATTCATTCATTCATTCATTCATTCATTCATTCATTCATTCATCCATTCATTCATTCATTCATTCATCCGTTCCTTCATTCATTCATTCATTCATTCATTCACTCGTTCGTTCGTTCGTTCGTTCGTGCGTTCATGTGTTCATTCATTGAATCAACCAATCAGTCAATGAGTCAATCGCTCATTTATTCCTTCATTCGTTTTTTTTTTAATTCGTTCATGCGTTCATTCATTCGTTCACTCACTCAACCAACCAACCAATCAACGAATCAATGAGTCAGTCGTTCTCTCATCTGTTCATGCACTCTTGCATTTGTTTGTTCATTGGCTCGTTTGTCCGTTCGTTCATATAATCATTGTTTCTTTCACTCATTCATCGAACCAATCATTCAACCACGCCAGCATTCAACCATTCAACCAATGAATGAATCAGTCAGTCAATCACCAACCATTCGTCCTTTTCATCCTTTTCATTCTTTCATGCATGCATGCATGAAGTTATTCAACGTTTGTCCGTTTGTTCATTCGTTCGTTCATTCACTCACTCATTTGTTCATTCATTCATTTGTGCATTGAGTCATTCATTCTTGGACTCATTCATTCAGTCTTTCATTTCTTTTTTTGTTTCATTCATTCATTCACTCATACATTCGTGTCTTCGTTCATGTTTAATTCATGTAATCATTCCATTCATTTCTTCATTCATTTCTTCATTCATGCATGCGTGCTTCCACTCGTTTCTTCCGACATTCATGCATTTGTTCACTCATTCGGTCCTTTATTGTTTCACTCATTCATTCACTCATTCATTCATTTATTCATTCATTCATTCAGTCATTCACTCATTCATTCGTTCATTCACTAAGTCATTTTTTCGTTCATTCATTCACTTATTCATTCAATCATTAATTCATTCATTCATTCATTCGTTCGTTCGTTCATTCATTCATTCATTCATTCATTCATTCATTCATTCATTCATTCATTCATTCATTCATTCATTCACAAATTTTGCAATCATTTAATCATTCATTCATTTATTTATTCATTCACTCATTCATTCATTCATTCATTCATGCATTCATTCATGCATTCATTCATTCATTTGTTCGTTTGTTCATTCATGCGTTCATTTGTCCTTTCAGGTATATATTTACCCATCCGTTCATTCAGTTCTCCATTTGTTCATTCATTCCTGGATTCATACATTCAGTGAGTCAGTCAGTCATTCATTCTTTCACGCGCCTCACACACACACACCTTTGTGCATTCATTCATTCATTCATTCATTCATTCATTCATTCATTCATTCATTCATTCATTCATTCATTCATTCATTCATTCATTCATTCATTCATTCATTCATTCACTCCTCCATTCACTCCTCCATTCACGAATTCATTCAGTTATTCTTTCATTCATTCATTCATTCATTCATTCATTCATTCATTCATTCATTCATTCATTCATTCATTCATGCAGTCATTCATTCATTCATTGATTCATTCATTCATTCATTCATTCATTCATTCATTCATTCATTCATTAAATCATTCGTTCATTCGTTCATTCATTCATTCTTTCATTCATTCGTTCGTTCGTTCATTCATTCGTTCGTTCGTTCGTTTGTTCGATCGTTTGTTTGTTCATTTTTTTTGTCATGCATGTATTCTTTCACCCTTTTCGTGTTTTGAGTTCATTGCATTGGTTGCTGGGTTGTTTGAAAGACTGCCTGGCTGACTGACTGCTTGGCGTTGCCTGGCGTGGTTTGATGTCATGCTGGGGTTCGGTAGCTTGGCTTGTTTTGGTTTTGCTTGGCGGGATTGTGATTTGATTTGCCTCGATTTGGCTTTCCTGGGTTGGCTTGATTCGGTTCAATGTGGCTTGGTCTGACTTGAACTGGTGTGGTTTGATTCCGGTTGGTCTGGTGTAGTGTGGTGTGGATTGATTTGGCCTGATTTGGTTTTGACATGATATGCTCGGTTGATTGCTTGTTGTTTGTTTGATTGCCGTGCCCGGCGAAATTTTGGCTCATTGGCTAGTTGCCTGACGATTGGGGGATTCTAGTTGTGATTGGTTGACTGAGTGGCTGGTTGATCGGCTCACTGCTTTGGTTTGGTTGAGTGTCAGGCTGGTTAATTGATCGCATGACTGGTAGGCTCACTGGCTGGTTTGGCAGTCTGTTGGTTGGTTTGATTGGGCTTTTGGTTCGTGCAATTGTTCAACCCAATGTTTGGCAATTTGCCTGTCTAGGCGGGCTGCGACTGTGGAAACTTTGATTTAGATGAGGCCAACGTCGAGTTTCCCACGGTCCTAGTCACCGCAGCGGACAAAGTGGAGTTCGTGCTGCCTATGCACTGGCTTGACAACCCCCCGCAGGACGGTGCCTTCTCCTACACAAAGGATCGCGAAGCGGCTTGCAGGCAATGTTGACCCAGGATTGAGCGCCAGTTGTTCACCTCCCCTTGGTAGGGAGGGCATTGCTTTCCCCAAGTTGAAAACATTGTCGTAGACGAAGGTGACGTATTATTGCATGTCGCCCGCCCTTTCTGGCAGCCAGCGCTCATCAGCATTTGTCGGTGAACGCCGTCTCACAGGTTTGTGTCCAAACTCGGACTGCTGGTTGGGTTGTATGCTGTTTGGAAGGTTGGTTGGATTTGATAGCTTCATAAGAAAACCGGCGGGGGGGGGAGTAACCATTTTGTATGGGCACCTAGGCAAACCATGCGCAAGGGGCTATGGGCCCTTCGACAGGGGGTGGATGGTGGATCGTGACGTGTCAAACGGGTTAAGGGGCCCCTCTGAATAAAATTACGGTTCTTGCTTGGGTTTTTCACAAGAGCAGGGAATAGCTTACAAACATACACATGTTTTGCTCACTTGGATGCCTGGCAGAGCCCTTCAAACTTTATTCAAAGACCATGTAAAAAGTCCTCCCCAAACAGCCGACCATTGGGGGTGTTTGCGCAAGTTTGGCTTGTAAAGGCAAGCAGCGTGACACCGAACCTTTGGAGCACGGACTCGTTTTGACGGCCATTTGACAGGAGGATGATAGCGAGCTCACCAGTCGCATTTTATGTTTCCGGCTTAGTGGTTTCGTCATTTCCAGTTTGATGCTTCCAGTTTGGGACTTGCTTGCTTCCCTCGATTTCTTTACTGTACTAGGAGATCACCCTTTCTGCGGTAATACGGGACAGCCTGAGGTTGTGCTACGTGTCATGGAGAAGGCTTTGCGCGCTAAGCTGCGGCTCTTGAAGGACAGGTTAGGTTGCCACTTTCTGTGATACCGAGGGGCTTCCCTTGAAGTGAGGTCATGTGAACGACCAATATTCTCGCTGACATTGTGACTTTTCACAGAGGATTTCAAGCTCGAGACAAACGCATCCGAAATTTTGGGAGCTTCCAACACAATTTTCATTGCGCCAACCAGCAGTGGACTCACTTGCAATTCCTATGATGTTAGATGATGTTAGTCACTGAGGGCCTCGCATTCAGCGTTGCAAGGGGGTCCGCTTGGCCACTCAGAGTCTTTGGGTGCTGCTCTCATGAAAAATATCCTTTTTTTGTGTCTACTGCCCCCGTGAATGGGGATGAGTGGCACGAAGCTAGAGGTGTTGCTTCACTGGTTTCAATTCCGCAACTCTCGCAGCTGCCTTGCCCCACCAAAAGGCTAGATTTGCGCACCCCACCCCGCTCCAAATCTCCCACTTGCAGCCAAAGGACACGAAGAAGTGGAATCTCTACCGCTACTACATGGCCAGGTACGACATTCTACTTGGCCAACCTTGTCGGCAGCGATCTCCAGAAGCTCCGGTCCAAACAACCTTTTGACCTGATTTTCCGAGAGTCCCAAACTCCAGCTCTACGTGTCTATGTGGCAAAAGCAAGTAAGTATTGTGGGCTTGACGTTTCTCCGCTCAGGAAGAATTTCAGCGAGACTTTAGGTTCGAATCTCTTGCTTCTTGGCGCAAAGGGTTGTCCGGACAGGGGCCCGACCCTCTGGACTTGTTTTGGTTGAACATGGATTGGCGCTTGGGCTTGGCAGTCCTGTTGTCAAATGGCGACGCGTGAAGTCTGTAGGCCCTTGTTCGCAACTTGTTGTTCGTAAAATTGTAAAGGAAGGGATCGCGCATTGTCTCTGCTACTTGGCCTTTTCTTGACTGAGAAAATTCTGTTGCCATGGCTATGGACAATTGGTGTCTGGGCCAGCCATATCCCCCAAGTTTGTGTTATGTATGGAAAGCTCGGAAGGCTTCAGCCCGTGGTATGACTCCGATGGCCTGCGCGGCGCTGTCCGGGGACGCAAACATGGTTTCCCAGCTTTGCGACGCGCAGCTGGACGTGGACAGGCGCGGCGCGACACGCGTCAAATTTGGTGTTGTGTTTTTTTGAGGCTGCCTAAGTGATGGGGGACCTTGCTTTATTGGGGGGCCCTGTGGCCCGCACAGGGGATTGCCCACCCCAAAAAGGACTGGCCCACATTTTCACCATGCCTCCGGATCCATTTCAGAACATAGGGAAGCAACCGGTGATGGATGTTCAGGATGTGTCACAGCGTCTCTGTGTGTTTGAGTCTTCTGTTGTGGACTGAAGAAGAGACCATAAGAGACCTACAATCTTGAGCCAACGCATGGAAATCCTTTCCTGATGGAGCCCAGCCAACTCCTTTCCACTTCCAATTCTTTTTTCTAGTGGCCTGTGTCGGGGGATGTGCGGTGTTGGTTTGTGGCGTCCCGGAATTTCATTGATGTTCAACGGCCGTCAGGTTCATTGGCACGCTGCCCGAGGTGTACATTATGGAGTCACTGACGCCTTTGATGCTGACCATGTGGTTGGGGTGGCGCTGTCACAAGGCGACGCGTCCTGACTCAGAGCAGAGCCGTCGACTGGTCAAGGCTTACCAGCGTCCCCTCTATGGCAGCTTTGTCGCCTTTGGCGAGCACTCATTTCAGCAGCCTAAACAGGGTTCTGAAGCGCGCGCAATACACAGCTTGCTACAGGCTTCCTCTCGCAAAGTTGTACTGAAAAGTTGCAACTTTCAAGTTGGCGCTGCGGAAATGCTCTTGGACAGGCATCAGTTCGCAGAGGCACCCAGCAAGGCTTCAGCGGAAGACCCAAGCAGTTCAATCTTGGACCTTGAACCAATTAAACAAGCAATAACAAGCGGGCTGCGCTTGTTCGAGCTGGCCTTTGCAAAATCTTGCCTTTTGTGTTTTGAGGATCCTTTTTAAAGCTGGGATTCCTGCCTGCAACTTTCGGCACTTCAGGTGGCCAATGCCCTCCTGGAGCGGAGGGCGAACGCCAATGCTACCACCGCTGTGGGCGCTTCAGCGCGGGAAAGTCTAGCCAGAGTCGTTTTGTCCTTTTTCCTTGTGTGTCGCTCGAATGGAAGAAACCACTAAATCAAGCTAGCCGAGCCAGCAGGACTTCTGCGAGCTTTGGCTTTCCCACCAACACGCATATCACGAAATAAGAGTGTATATCTGTATATACCACAAACCACCAGTGTGCCGGCCATGATTGATGAAGTCGAGGAATCTGTAACTGAAAGCATTCTGTGAAGTATGGGGGAGGGGGGTTCCATTGGGGGGTTCTTGTTGGCTCTGTACTTGAGAAACAGATCCACTCATGTGCGATTCCTGTTTGCCACGATTTTACCCTCACAGCAAGGGAGATAAAGGGTATTCACTGCTTGCTGAGTTGTGGTATTGATAGGTTTTTGGTTCCAGTGGAAGCCAAACACTACAATTTGCATATCTTGGTCTTCTACTTCAACATGACATTTGGCACCTCATCGGAATTTGTCTTTGCGGCGAAATGACTGTGAACGTAACCCAGCCCATTACCAGATCTTCATACCGAAGCCAGCTAACATGGCCGTTGTACGACGGAGGCAGTTTAACATTCATCGGTAAGTTGATGGTGAACCGGCTCACAGACATACCGCGAACTCTTGGACAGTGAAGGACTCATAGACTCATAGATCTAGACAGCGGGGTGGAGTACTTCCTGGGTACCCTTTGTGGCTACTTCTGAAAAGGAGCCCAGAATGAGTTTTATATGATTCTTTGTTTATAGCGAATTCGTGACCTTCATCAGCATATTCAAGATTCTCCTCTGAGCAGCCTGCCAAAGCCAGTCCTGACTATGTTCAGGCCATCCATGACGCTATGGCTGAACAACACGATGAAAGGGCCCAAGAAGTTACGTCCCAGTTCAGGGACAGCCGCAAGGAGCCGCAGTTCTTATAGCTTCTAGTCCAGTCTTCCATCGAACTTCTATCAGCTTGTCACAGGAAGAAGAACGCAACATACCCAGGTTTGCCACCGGCTGTATCGTGACATTGTTGTTCATCATTCAGAGTGAGTTGTCAGAAGGCCAACGTGAATGCTTGGTATTTTCATTAGCCCTGAGAGGCATTCAAGTCCCTGAGTACTCCCAAGAGATCGTAAAGGCCCAGCAAGTGCCACTCTTCATCACAACCAGAACCTCCACTCAAGATCCGAACATCCGCCCTGGCGGCGGAAGCCAATCCAAAGACCTTCTTTATCCTAGAGCGAGGAGACTATGAAGGTGAGGGTTGTGGGTTGAAGAGGCATGTTTGCAGCTGGAAGACCATGATGCGTTCGTGTTAAGAAGACTCAGCGTCGCACTCTTGAGTCTGGCCAGGGGCGAAAATGTAGAACAGGCAAGAGCAAGCGCTTGAAGGGGCCGCCTTCAAACCGTCTGAAACCCACGACCAGGCGGCAAGGCCCATCAATCCTATTGGGGAAAGAACGGCAAATCACAACCATGGTGCCAAAAAGGGAAAGGACAAATGACAGAATTCCGGCAAGGGGGAAAACCACAACCCTCGCCACGTGCAGGAAGCCACAAAGCCTCCTGCCGACATATCAGCAGTCCTTTTTACACTGACCACAACAATGGTCCAATAGAACAGCCTAGTAGATCCAACCGAAGAAGTTGACGCGAGCAGAAGTACGGGCACCCAAAATGGCTTGACCTACAACATCATTCCGCACGCGACACCGCATAAACTCATGGCGCCCATCATCAAGCAGGCCGAAAATCCAACCCATGTCATTCCTGACAGCGGTTGCACGAAATCCATGGGTAGTTGGTTAAGGCAATTGAACTATTCCACATCGGATGAAGTATGGGTTCATCCCATGCAACACGCCTCACATTTGCCAACGGTCAGACTTCTAAGGTTGACTGGACTCTCCGGCTGTTTTCAATACATCAGCACCTATGCTAGAATCCTTGCGCAAGGACAAGTCCCAGATTTGCTTAGCATTAGCATGGATCAGATGCGGAACATTCACATGACAATGCAGCACACTCAATTGCAAGGCGTTCGGTATGATTCGACAACCCACACCGGTATCCAGTAGCGGTCATGCAATCTTTGTTCTCGCGGCCTTTTTTCGCGAACAACACGACTTCAGAAAAGCAACCAAGGCAGTCGATGATAACAAGATCAAACCATTTGCGCATCCATCACTGCGCGGCCGCATGTCCAGCAGAAGCAACATCCAAGGAACCATCGTTTCCCACACCAGCACCGGAGGCAGGAACAACGGAGATCGCAGGTCAACAATGACCACTGGATAATTGACAATGCAGCCAAGAAACTCCATAGCATTCATGCATCCAAGAGCAGTTCAGCAAGAGCGGGTTGATCAAGGCGGCTTCGCCAAAGACGGACCAGAGTTGTGGACAGGACCCACAACATTCAATTTCTCAGACAATCCACATACAGCGCAACGACTACACATTCCAGCGCCCGGTCGGCATGCCACTGAGCCAAGAGATTATGCTGCGCCACTAGAAGCATCAGCCGATGCTCCAACTGAATCAACCGCCACATTACCATTTGCGTTAAAGCGCATACACACGCGGCCTCAAGACAAGATCTATACGCAAACTTTACCTGCAACACCGTCACATGTCAGGACAACATTGAGATTCAGAACCCGAGCGCTTAAAGATTTATGATCTCCACAAGAAGATCCAGGCAGCGTGCGGACCCTGTCAGAAAGCTGCGATTGCACGGTCACGGAGCAAGACGAGCAGCCTTCGAGCTGAGTCATTCAGAGAATTGACAATTGACAATCATTGATCACTGTCAAGCCTTAGGAACAGGCGAGTGCATCAATGTTCTCATTGTCTTTGATGGAGCTACAACACTTCTCACCGCGGAAGTTGTAGAGAGAACAACTGATCTCACCAATTGGCTCAGGAACTCATTTTGATCAATATCACCTTCAGCAGAAGTGTGTCGTTGGGGGCCCTGCCTAAGCCCTTGACACCCTGGCATAACCGCGCAGAGACAGCACTCCGTCTCATTACGAGACAAATCTCACTCATGCTCAATGCAATCAAGACAGGAACAGCAAAACCGTCCTTAAAAGCCATAACCTACAAACAACTTGTAAAGGCAGCAGCGACTGCAAGAAACCTGTCAGTGACATACGGCGTCGTCACTCCAGTGGAACCAGCGTTCGAACGCAGGCCAGCAGAGCTTGTCCAACTGGACCGAGCAACGCCGCCGCAGCTCACGATTCCTAAGACGGAGGAAGAGTGACTGCTGGACAGGTCCGACAGCTTGCGCAACAGGCATAGTAAGAGGCTCGACATCAGCAGATGTCACACGAGACCTCGCGCAACACCTGCGTCTCAGTTCCAACCCAGGTGTAATGGGTATTTATTGGAGTGAGGGAAAGTCAGAGATCAAGCCAGAAAGGAGGACTGTGGCTAAAAAGCAAGGTGATATCCACAGATGGCGCAATAGTAGGAATTGACCTTGGCACACGCCTGCTTCAGGTCAACGTCACAAAGACGAAACATTGTCACCATCCAAGATCGAGCCATAGAGATCTTTTTTCGGACAAGACAAGGCAGCAGCAAAACCAGCCAGACGACTACTATTCAAGACAACCATGGCTCAGCCAAGTTCCACAGAAACAGGTCTTTACACGGAAGACGACACATGCGATTCACAAGCCGCAAATTGGAACTGAGTGACTGAGGGAAAGGTCCTAGAGGAGTCGCTCGAAGCGCCCGCCTTAGCCAATGCCGTGCGCAGACGGGGCTAAAGGTTGGCAAAACGATCGATGCTCAAAAATTTTTGATGTCGTGACCTCAAGGTCGACAGATGGGCATTATCCGAGGGCAACAGTCAGATGTCGTTTGGCTTTCTCCAGCCTTTGAGTCCTTTTCCATCATGCAAAACGTGAATGGTCCAAAGATTGTTACAGAAAAGAGGGCCAGAAGCTTGCCCATGATCGACTTTGTGGCTTCAATCACAAGGTGTGAGTTAACCGGGGACTTTGTTTCATTGTAGAGAATGTCCAGAAATCCAAGGCCTGGACTTAACTTAAGTCCATTGTTCAGCTCACCAATAATTCACAGGTCTCTTCGAATGACCTTAGTTTCTTTCTGTGCATTCGGATTGAGAGATCCAAGCACCAAACTTAGAAGCTTGAAGCCAACCAGTTTCATGCATAATCTGCCGAGTGAAGAAATGAGACCAGTCAGAAGGTGGTCTACCTTGGAAAGGAGGAGCACCAGCGCCAGCCTTTAGAAGGCAATACCAAGAGTCAGGGCAGCCGCCCAAAGCTCGCCCAGACATATCTTTCCATTCTGTCAGGGGATGGCGCACATTCTTCTCAGAATCTCAATTTGACAACAAAGTTTTCTTCCTAGAAGACGTCTTGAGCCATTCCCAGACCACGACATATCCAGCAAAAGATCCGATCTTTACAAGACCGATAAAGAGTACAACATGACGAGTGCCAGCGCTCGTGTCAGGATTCAGGATCTCCCTTCCAACAACCAGGTAGATCAATTGACATCAACAACACTGATTGCAATGATGCAGTTCCCACAAGGCACCGAGATTCACCTGAAGGCATCCAAAACCTCAGATTTAACCATGCCATTTGCAACGGCACAAGACAACTCAGGCCCCTTTGTATCACACACCATACAACAAGTGCACTGACGACACCACTGCATGACGTGTTTCTCTGGCCAACAAACACGCCGAGCAAAATTTGAGTCTTACCAGCACACCGATGTGACTGGAAACAACAACCCCTACAACGGCACGTGCTTGTGCTTTCACATACCATCCAAGCGCCCACAATTCGGACGATGCCACACGACCGACGTGGAGATCACGGCGGCGGTGGAGATGATCCACCAGCCGCCTGGCCCGCCAACACCGCCCAATGTGCCATTGTCACAGGCAACGACTGCGCCTGTGCCACTGATGTACCTGCGCTGCTACCACAACAACAACAACAACAACAACAACA